GACTCTAAGGGATCCTCCTGCCTTTGCCTCCTGAAGTGCTGGGATTGTAGGTGTGAGCCACCATGTCCAGCCCTCTTTGTATATTAGGGAAATGATACCTTTTCCTGGTTGTTTGCTTTTTGATTTTACTAGATTAAAGAATTTACAGAATATTTTGTTTTTTTATTTTAATTTTTATATCTTTGAGACAAGAGTCTTTCCTTGTTGCCTGGGCTAGAGTGCAGTGGCATGATCTTGGCTCACTGCAACTTCTGCCCCCTGGTTTCAAGTGATTGTCATGCTTCAGTCTCCTGAGTGACTGTGATTACAAGTGTGTACCACCACATCTGGTTAATTTTTAAAAAATTTTTAGTAGAGGTGGGGTTTTGCCATGTTGGGCAGGCTGGTCTTGAACTCCTGGCCTAAAGTGATCCACCCGCCTCGGCCTCTTAAAGTGCTGAGATTGCAGGTGTGAGCCACGGCACCAGACCTTATATAATGTTAAATTTATCAACTTTTTTTTTGGCCTTGCTGGTTTTAGGTTTTGTGTCTTATCAAAAAGCTTTTCTCAGGATTTAGGAATAAAAAAAATAAATATTACATTCATCTGGATTTTTTTTTCATTGTAAGGTCCACTGAGTTCCAGTGATTTGTCATGGCTTCTTTAAATGTATGTACTAAGAAGTTAAGATGCCTTTTTACTTATTTATGAAACCATGTCTATCTCCTGAACCATGTAAAGAACTAATTCTGTGCAATTAGCTCTTTGGAATGGAAATGGAAATTTACTTATTTAATTTGCTCATCCCAGGAGAACTTGGTATATGAAGGAATCTTCTGGCAAATTAATTCATAAAGTGTTAGGATACTTTAAAAATGCATAACCTTCAAATTTACCTTTTTAATTTTGTATACTTTTATTTTTTTTATAATGAATATACACTTTTGTTTCTTTGTGTGAGATTATAGTGAATTGTTAGAGAATTAGCATATGGGCATCTTAACTAAATTTAAATGAGCTTTAAAAATGATTAGATATTCCACAATAAATATTTTTAATGTGATTGAAAGGCTTAGAAGCAAAGTCTTGGAAGAATTTAGGACTATTTTGGGAATGACATAATCATTCTTGTATTTTTGTTTAAGAAATAAATATTCACTTGATTAAAGGGTGTTTTTTATTTTTGGTTTTTTTTGCTTGTTTCTTAGGATGGGAAGGCCATTGTGACTATGTGGTGATTACAGTTGTCTTACTACTGAGTTTCCTACTGAAATCATGGAGGAGAAACAGCAGATTATATTGGCTAATCAAGATGGTGGAACAGTGGCAGGAGCAGCACCTACCTTCTTTGTCATCCTAAAGCAGCCAGGAAATGGCAAAACTGATCAAGGAATTTTGGTTACTAATCAGGATGCCTGTGCTTTGGCTAGTAGTGTGTCATCACCAGTAAAATCTAAAGGGAAGATTTGCCTTCCAGCTGATTGTACTGTGGGTGGAATCACTGTTACCCTCGATAACAATAGTATGTGGAATGAGTTCTATCATCGAAGCACAGAAATGATTCTGACCAAGCAAGGAAGACGCATGTTTCCTTACTGTCGTTATTGGATAACAGGTTTAGATTCAAATTTGAAGTATATTCTTGTCATGGATATATCTCCTGTGGATAACCATCGTTATAAGTGGAATGGTCGTTGGTGGGAACCGAGTGGGAAGGCTGAGCCTCATGTTTTGGGGAGGGTTTTTATTCATCCAGAATCTCCTTCCACAGGTCATTATTGGATGCATCAACCAGTATCTTTCTATAAACTCAAACTTACCAACAATACACTGGACCAAGAAGGGCATATCATCTTGCACTCTATGCATCGTTACCTGCCGAGGCTTCATTTGGTGCCTGCAGAAAAGGCTGTGGAGGTGATACAATTAAATGGCCCTGGTGTCCATACTTTTACCTTCCCACAGACTGAATTCTTTGCAGTAACAGCTTATCAGAACATTCAGATTACTCAGCTGAAAATAGATTACAATCCATTTGCCAAAGGCTTTCGTGATGATGGGCTGAATAGTAAGCCCCAGAGAGATGGAAAACAAAAGAACAGCTCTGACCAAGAAGGGAATAATATTTCCAGTTCTTCTGGTCATCGGGCCCGTCTTACAGAAGGTCAGGGGTCAGAGATACAACCAGGTGATTTGGATCCTTTGTCAAGGGGTCATGAAACATCAGGCAAGGGTTTGGAGAAGACTTCCCTTAATATAAAACGAGACTTTCTTGGTTTCATGGATACTGATTCAGCACTTAGTGAAGTTCCTCAATTGAAGCAAGAGATTTCTGAATGGTAAGTAGTAGTTTTTGTGTTCTTAGAAATAAAAGGAAGATTGAGATGGGCCGGGTGTTGGATTTAACATGTTGGTTCTGTGGAATGTTACACATGTTGATAAATGTAAGCCATTATAAAATATACTTCAACTGCTTTTACATTCTGTGAAGTGACAGATCACATTTCTGTTATGAGTATCTGTTGGGTTCAGGATCTAGGATTGCAGACAAATTGGATAACTTATCAGAATTATTCATATATATTTAGAATGTTCCTTGATATCCTTGGGGGGTTGGTTCCAGGACCACAAGAGAATACCAAAACCTGACAGTGCTCAAGTCCATTATATAAAATGGTATAGTATTTGCAATATAACTTATGCAGATCCACGTGTATACTTTAAATTTGCTCTAGATTACTTACAATATCTAATGCAATGCCTACATATCCCATACTTTAAATCAGCTCTAGATTACTTAAAATATCTAACACAATGCCTGTACATCACTTGGTTTGTGTGGATTCAATGTAGTACTCAGTGCATGGCAAATTCAAGTTTTGCTTTTTGGAATTTTGTGAAATCCTCCCCCTTGTTTCATCCCAAATATTTTGTATTTGTGGTTGGTTGAATACACAGCTGCAACCTCCATGGAAGGTTGATTGTGTAGACAACTCATGATTACAGGCAATTTTCTTTATCTGAGGGGGACTGGTTCCAGGACCTTCTCCAGATACCAAAATCTGAGGATACTCACATCCCTTAGTTGGCCAGCTGTATCTTTGGGCACAGAACCAATAGATGTGGTGGGTCTGCTGTAATTGAAGAAGGGAAGAAAAATAACCCCAAATCATAATGGAAACAAAACTTATCTATATAAGGCACAAAATGGATTCAAAGTTATTATTAGTATCTAATGTTTTTGAATTTACTGCCCTATGGATATCCTAATCTGTAAATTGCCCAACCAAAGAACAAGCTGAAAATTACTACTTGTTAAAATAGCATGCTTAATGTTTCTTTTTTAAAAATTTACCTGGCATAACTGAAGCTTTGTACCCTTTGACCAACATCTTTCAGTCTCTCTCTAACCCTGGCAACAACCATTCTACTTTTATGAATATTTTGCTGTATTTTTTGTTTTGTTTTGCTTATTTCACTTAGCATAGTATTCTCTAGGGTCATCTATGTTGTCGCAACTGGTATGATTTTTGTCTTTGTTTTTTTGGAGATAGTGTCACACTCTGTAGTCCAGGTTGGAGTAAAATGGTGTGATCTCAGCTCACTGCAACTTCCGCCTCCTGGGTTCAAGTGATTTTCATGCCTCAGCCCTCTGAGTAGCTGGGATTACGGGTATGCATCACTGCACCTGGCTAATTTATTTTTAGTAGAGATGGGGTTTTGCCATGTTGGCCAGACTGGTCTTAAACTCCTGGCCACAAGCTATCCACCTACCTCGTCCTCCCAAAGTGCTGGGATTATAGGAGTGAGCCACTGTGCCTGGCCCTAATTTTTATCTTTTTAAAGGCAGAATAATATTCCATTGCAAAAATACACAGGTGGCCCTCTGTATCTGTGGATTACTCGTCTGTGGATTCAACCAACTGCAAATTGAAAATTTTTGGGAAAAGAATTGTGTCTTTACTGAACATGTGCAGACTTTTTTTCTTGCTATTATGTAAACAATGTGGTATAACTTTTTTTTTTTTTTTTTTTTTTTTTTTGAGATGGAGTTTTGCTCTTGTTACCCAGGCTGGAGTGCAATGGCGCAATCTCGGCTCACCGCAACCTCCGTCTCCCGGGTTCAGGCAATTCTCCTGCCTCAGCCTCCTGAGTAGCTGGGATTACAGGCACGCGCCACCATGCCCAGCTAATTTCTTTTTGTAGTTTTAGTAGAGACGGGGTTTCACCGTGTTGACCAGGATGGCCTCAATCTCTTGACCTCGTGATCCGCCCGCCTCGGCCTCCCAAAGTGCTGGGATTACAGGCTTGAGCCACCGCGCCCGGCCCGATATAACATTTACATTGTGTTATATAAGCAATCTAGAGATGACTTAAAGTATATGGGGGGGATATACGTAGGTTATATGCAAATACTATACCATTTTATGTCAGAGACTTGAGCATCTGTGGATTTTGCTGTCTGGTCTTGGAACCAATCTCCCATGATACTGAGGAACTACTGTATAAGTACATTTTATTAATTCTTTCCTTTATCAAAGGACTCAGGTTTCTTCCATATCTTGACTATTATGAATAAGGCTGTTGCTTCTTTTTGCTTGAACTTGCCTTATTTATTTATTTTTGAAACAGAGTCTCTGTTGCCCAGGCTGAAGTGCGGTGGCACCACCTCGGCTCACTGCACCTTGAGCTCCCAGGTACAAGCGATTCTTCTGCCTCAGCCTCCCAAGTGGCTGGGATTACAGGTGTGCACCACCATGCCTGGCTAAATTTTTTGTATTTTTTTAGTAGAAATAGGGTTTCACCACGTTGGCCAGGCTGGTTTCAAACTCCTGACCTCGGGTGATCCACCTGCCTTGACCTCCCCAGGTGTTGGAATTATGAGCAACTGTGCCTGGCCTGAACTTGCCTTATTTTGACTTTTTTTTTTTTAAGACGAGGTTTCACCATGTTGGTCAGGCTGGTCTTGAACTCCCAACCTCAGGTGATCCTCCCGCCTTGGCCTCCAAAGTGCTTGGATTACAGGCGTGAGCCACCACACCCGGCCTTATTTTGATTTTTAAACCCAAGTTCAGCAAAAGTAAATCTACCCCTGTACACGACTTTCCTTTGCTTTCCTTTTCTTGTTAAAATTGTAGGCCACTTAACAGCTACTATTTTTTGGATTTGGAATCCCCATGCTCATGAGTTTCCCTTGCTTTGTCTGTGATCTGGTTATTGCTTTGCTTTTTCTAAGGATTGTTACAGCAGGAGTAAGTGCTACTCAAGCCATGTATACAGTTTTTTTGTCAAAGGGGAAAGGTTCTTTGAGTTTATACTTTTTGCTGTGGTATTGTTTGTAATTGCAAATAGTAGATGCCGCCTTTAAACTTGATTCCTCAGCCACATCTTAATCATCTTGATTATCTAACACAATTAAAATAAGATTTAAACAGTTGACCACAAATTATATTTTTACCCTTGTTATCTAGAAACAGTTTAATCTACCACTGGATGATGCAGAATTTATTAAAATTTCTTTGGAGGATAGGGCCTGAAGGAGTTTGTTAGCTAAAAGGATCAGATGTATTTTTGTTGGTTTGTTTTTTGAGACAGTGTATGGCTCTGTCACTTAGGATGGGGCGCAGTAGCACAATCACAGTTCACTGCAGCCCCAACTCCCTGGACTTGGGTGATTCTCCTACCTCAGCTTCCGAGTAACTGGGACTACAGGCATGCACCACTGTGCCTGGCTAATTTTTTGCATTTTTAGTAGAGACGGGGTTTTGCCATGTTGCCCAGGCTGATCTCAAACCCCTGAGCTGAAGTGATCTGCCAACTTGGCCTTTCATAGTGCTGGAATTACAGGTATGAGCTGCTGCACCCAGCCAGGTCTATTTTTTTGTTATATAAAGCAGCTGTTGGGATTACATAATGGTTGAGCTTTTGATTTTAATGGATCAAGAGAGTGGTTCAGATTCATTAACGTATAGTATCTTTGTCACTGGAGGGGGAAAAGCAACTTGAGTCATGCTCTAAGAAATAGCATTATCTTCATGTATGAAAATGGTATTTAGCTATATGTAAACTTTGTTTCTAAGTGCTTGATTTTGGAGCAGAAATTATTTTTAGGCAGGAATGGGACAAATCTGGCCTATAGCCTATTTTTGTATGTATATAAGAATATGTGACAGAGACCGTATGTTACTTGTAAAGCCTAAAATATTTACTGTCTGTTCTTTTACAGGAAAAATTTGCCAACCTCTGATTTAAGGATTTAAAAAATTATATACACATGCATGTACACACACACACACACACACACACACACACACACACACACATTTTTTCCCATTTTCTGTTCAGTTACTGATATATAATTGCTCTGTTACTCTACTTTAGTTTTAGTTAATGTTATCATTGGTAAACACAATTGTTATCTTTAGGCTTTATTTGCTACATTTGCTGTTCTTTGACCATTTTCTCCTACTTTAAACTATATTTTTGTTTCCTTGGCTTTTATTGCACCATTTACTTGGTTCTCCTAACTCTTGATTTTTCCCTTCTTTCAGTTATTCGTACTTACGAAGGTTATTTTCTAGTATTATCCTCTTGTAGTTTTTTTTTTTTTTTAAGACAGAGTCTTGCTCTGTTGCCCAGGCTGGAGTGCAGTGGTGCAATCTTGGCTCACTGCAACTTCCACCTCCTGGGTTCCAGTGATTCTTGTGTCTCAGTCTCTGGAGTAGCTTTGATTACAGGTGCATGTGACCATGCTTGGCTAATTTTTGTATTTTTAGTAGAAACAGGGTTTCGCCATGTTGGCCAGGCTGGTCTCAAACTCCTGACCTCAAGCAATCCAGCCGTCTTGGCCTCCCAAAGTGCTGGGATTACAGGCGTGAGCCACTGCACCCAGCTTTTAAAAATTTTTATTTTTTAGACAGTCTTGCTCTGTCACCCAGGCTGGAGTGCAGTGGTGCGATTTTGGCTCATTGCAACCTCTGCCTCTTAGGTTCAAGTGATTATCCTGTCTCAGCCTCTTGAGTAGCTGGTATTACAGGCGCCAGCCACCATATCCACCTAATTTTTGTATTTTTAGTAGAGATGAGGTTTTGCTGTTTTGGCCAGGTTGGTCTCAAACTCCTGACCTCAGGTGATCCTCCTGCCTTGGCCTCCCAAAGTACTGGGATTACAGGGCATGAGCCACTGCACTTGGCTGAGTATTTTTGATGGTATAAGGTAAGGGTTCACCTTCATTCTTTTGCATGTGTGCATCCACTTTTCCCATCACCATTCATCAAAAAGACTTTCCTTTTCCCATTGAATGATCTTTGCACCTGTTGAAAATCAGTTGGCCACATAT